CGGGTGTGTCTCGACCCCGGTGGGGGGGGGGGGGGGGGGGAGGGGGGGAGAGAGAGAGAGACCGCAGGTGAGACCCCATCACTCACTCACAGGGATTTCACCTATTACTGGGAATCTAAGCCACTATCCTGTGTACCTGGGGGCATGCTTCTGTCCCCAAGTCAGTCACACACAGAGACTTCTAGCACGGAGCTGCTTGTGTCCAGGCACCGAGAGGTGTGAGAATGCCTGATGAGAACGAGCTGGTGGCTCTTCATTAATCTTTGATCAGGACTGGCAGCAGCCAGCACAAGTTAGCCAGGCATGGGAAGACCAGCTGTGACTTGGCTTTATCCTTACAGGGCTCAGGATCCCAAATCTGCTGCGCTCAGGCCCACTTTCTAGCGAAGTCTAATGGCCTGCTCACGCCTGCTGCGTTGGAACGAGCTAGCACTGCTGCCCGCTGCTTTGTGAGTGTCTTCACTAAGGGTTGATGCCAGGGCTCTGCGCAGCGCTCGCTGCCCTTCTCCTCTGGTAATTTCCCCTGCTGCCAGGGAAACAAGACACAGCTTTTGGGCCAGGCACCGACCGAGACAGGCAGGGCCTGAAAGGAAAGGCTCGGCCACATTCCTAGAGGAGGGCTCAAGCTGACTGAGAAAAGCCGTTCTTTTCTCGGCCACTGCAGGGCTGTTTGTCTGCCCTGTCCTCCTGGTAATGTCTGGGCTTGGCCGTTGCTGTGGGCAGGGAATGCTCAGGGCTTTGCGTCTCCCTCCACAGCCATGCAGTCAGATAGATGCTGTGCATTTAAGGCAGGCAGAGCTGAGAATAGTGGCTGCTGCTTAAGAGACCTGTGTGCTCTTAATGTAAAGGAAGGTGTAGGTGGGTGCATACACCCTTTTCTTAACACTTACACGTGGTGGTGTCTGGCACAAGATACCACCACCCACCCCCAACCCCATTCCCAAGGCCAGCATTAGCTCTGCTGTCGGCACAGCAGGCAGGCTGGCCACGAAATAATGGAAATGAATTTTTGTCAATGAAGCTTAGACACAAATATTTATTAAGCACACACCCCCCTTCCCCTTGAGCTGTATTCACTTCTAATATATTAATTCATTTGGCAGATTATTTTTTAGAAAAAAAAGTACCTGTGGGTTGGAAATTCCCCATTAAAATGACATTAGCAAATGCACATGTAAAAAATAAATAAGCTCATACATTCAAGTATATGGCAAATAATTAACACCTCTGAAAGCTGAACGGTCAGATTCCAGTTCACCACCTGGCTGAGAGCTGCACAGGCCCGAGCCTGCAGCTGGTCAAGTCAGCTTCATCTTCGTTCTCCTCCTCTTTACAAATGCAAGCTGGGTCAGTACGTAGGTGGCTGGGCAGGTCCTCCTATCCCTTCTCCAGAGCTCTGACCGGAAGGAGGCCGAGCCTCGGCCAAGCAGTCCGTGCAGCAGGTGAGCGCTCCCTGGTAGCAGGTAAGATGCAGCTACCCCTCCACATTGTCAGTGCAGGCAGGTTAAATGCCCGATGAGCAGCATCACTGGTCTAAAAATCTTACTGCTGGTTGGAAATGTTTCCATCAAATGCATTTCAAATAGAAAGTGCTTGATTTGTTCTCTATAGGAACATATCTGCTTTGGCAGAACTCATTATGGAGTTTCTGAAGTCCAAGACAGCCTGTCTGGTCAAGCAAAGAAAAAATACTCCACCTCCTGAAGTGAGATCCCTGCTCCCCTCCTCCCTGGCCTTGCTTTTCCAACTGTTGCAAAAGGGGAAGGAATGAAAGTAAATGTAGACCCTTGCACTTGTGTGTGGGGTGGAACTGACTTCCCAGCCAACGCCCCAGTCGAGCTCTCGTGAGGCTCCATTTATTGGAGATGGATCGGGCAAAACAGGAGTGCTTTGCCGAGGGCAGCTCTGCTGGGGCCTGCAGGGACAGGGAGAAGCTCAGCACTGGTTTTGGGAGAAACAAGGGGAGGGAAGGGTTATTATCCCCGACTGCTGTTGGACACAGAAGGGAGGAGGGGATGGTTCTGCTTGCTCTCCTGACAAGCCGTGGCCAGAAGACTTTGCTGGCTCTCAAAGCAGGTCATTGCCAAATGCAGGCTTCTGCCTCGGGCACACTCACCTGCACACAGGACAGTCCTGCACGAGACTTCTGGCTCAGTGGCACCAGAAGCGATGAGCTGCCCAAGTTTGCCTTGTGCTGAACAGATGGGCAAAGGCTTCCTTCTTCCCTTCCCAGGCACAGGCCCCTGCCTTGGGCCTGCAGTTCGGGCTGCACAGCTGTCCTCTAGAGGTAACCAAATCCCACTAAAGCTCAGGGCGAGCAAGGCTTTGCTCCTGCTCAGGAGGTCCCGGTACAGCTCTGCACAGGACCGCGGCTGGGGAAGCAGAGGGGGTGTCACAGGGCTCACTGCAGAGTCCTCAGCAAACCTAAAATAAACTTTAAGGTGTGTTGGGACCATGACTGCGGCTGGGGCGGGGATGAGGTTTACAAGGACCGGTGTAGCCTCTGACTTGGGCTTATTTCCTCCTGTAGAAAGAACAAAGCTGAGCAAGACGTTCCAGGGAAGGATCCAGAGCAATTTGTGTCACCTCGTGATGCGGGCAAGACAGGAGGACTTCAAAATGGAAAAGATGCTCTTCCCTTCCCCCGTTAAATTGAAAGTGTTGTGGCAATAAAAGACATCGAGGCTGGAGTTAACTACCCACTCTGGGCTCCTCCTTTGGCTGACGGCAGAAGTTCCTGGATTTTTAGGTGATAAGCAAAGGGGCTGCCAAAGTCGTCTTCCCTCGTGCTGTGCCCAGTGTTACAGTGGCTGTGTCCCCTAAAAAAACCCCTTGTTTAAAAACCGTCCCCCCATCTGGTGGGCCTTCCTGTAACACTGCCTCCGCAGAGCAGCCAGGTGCGACGCAACGGAGGTGCGGCTCCCCACGTCCCTGGGGCAGCTCCTGGGAAAAGTCTGTGGTAGCGCAGGAGCGCTCGGGTTTGAAACCACCTACACTTTTTTTCTTTTAAAAAAACCCAAAATTAAGCCAAAACAACCCCCCCAAACCAAACCCCAGTTCTTAGCTGGAACCAGGCCTCTGCTGCTCCTCTCCGGCCTCCTCCTGGGCTGAGGCCAAATCTACCCGCTGCTCGTCCATGCGTTTGGCCTGGACGCGCTGGATGAGGCTGAAGAAATCTTCGTCCGGCATGGTGGGGCCACGGGGGATGGAGTCTGGTGGTGCACAGCGCTGGTCATCTATCCTGGAGGACTGCACGGGGAGGAGAACAGGCTTTAGGACAGAGTACTGACAAGACAGTCCTGTCATGGAAGTAAAGGGCTGGGAGCAGTGCCCAAGAGGCATCCAGAGCACACGTTCCCTATCCCGGGGCACGGGGCAGCGGGACCAGCAGTGCTGCACCCCACTGCGGGCTCCAGCGCAAGGGAAGAGCAGTGACCCGGCCCAGGGCTGTAGGCACTGCGTGGAAGGTGGGCTCTCCAGTCACTCTCTCGCTTGTAGAGCGGTGACAAAGCGCAGCCCTCGGTACAGGGTCAAAAGAAGGACCTGGAGGCAAAGACAAGTACCTGCCTGGGTGCCCAGGGCTGCAGGTGGGCAGCTGCTGGCCACAGCCCCTCCCAGCTGGGCAGGTGGGATCAGGGGATGGCATTTGCCTGTGTGGGAGAAACTAGTGTCGTCCCCCCCCCGGCTCCGGCTCGGCAGCCGGTTCAGCCCTGCCGGTACCTGACACTTCCTGAGCATGT